ACGATCCGCGCAAGGGACACGGCGAATTTAGAGTGGTTCACGGCGCGGACTGAAACTTTCTCGGCCATTTTCCGTCCGCTCGGCCTTAACACTTTCAATTGCAACACTCCTATTGTAGTAGTCGACATCACCAGACGCCGCCCGAGTATAAAAGCAGCCTTAACGACTTAACGAGATTGTTCGTGATCTCAGAACTCATACAACGTGTAACATAGTTTACAAACAAAGCTACTGGTAATTCATTGAAATAATTAGTCTTCCAATAACGTACCATCTGACGTCAATCTGACACATACTTTTGAATATGGCTGGCGGTTCCCATGTAACCTCACCAGAATAGTGCAGTGTAGCTTTCGTGGAGATTGTAATATTATAGTTGCTATCCGCACTGAAAAATTTCAATAACACATAATCTGAAAATCTTGGTTGCTCAAGATAAGTGCGCAGTCGCGCCGTGCATTCGAGTTACGTTCAGAATCGTAAACGCATTTTAAAAAACTGTTTACTACAGAATAAAATTGAATTTGGAGAGGTGGTAAGGAGATAAAGAGAATGTCTGATTGGGAGGGTATAAACCACGAATCAAAATAGAATAATGACTCTTTGGATCACACAGTCCAAAGGCGCCTAAGTGTGGACTTATTGGTTCCGTAAATGAAGATAAAACCCTTGAATTCTGAGAAGGACAAGCCGTGCAAAAAGTACGGATGGAGTCACTCTGACAGTTACGCTCTCTCATTGGATGGCTCTATCGGAAGGAGTCCACCAATGAGGGGTGCAATGACCGAAATGACTCCGCCCATCCAATGAGCGTACTGTGTGTTTTAACGGGTTTGGGGGCAAGTCTTCTCTTCTCTTCACACTTTTTTGGACCAATATCAAGTTTGCTGACATTTTTTAAGGACAATAGTCCACACCCAGGCAGCCAGAGAAAGAGCCTTTAGTACTGCATTGTGAGGAGACTCCTTGATGTCACGATGGAGCCCTTGACCTCATATCAATTCTAATAAGGAAGTACACACTCACTTGTTGTACAGCACAATATCTGGTACCCAGATCATTTCATAAGGCACATAGAGGACGCTCACACCACCGTAACTCTTCGGATCCCATGAGAGCTTCTTGTCGATCCACACTTGCTTCAGCCACACCGAACACGTCATAATTTGATCAATCTCGTGCTAAATTGAGATCTATTAGATTAGTTTATCGAACATTTGCGTCAAAAACTTTTCCAACATTCCTAGCATGGCATGTTTGCTGATGTCCAGGTGGGATACGTTGTGACCTGACTATTCTACTGCCTCCTTCAAATGGTCCCCAACTAATTTCCATCGTGGATGATTCCAAACGCACCCCGTTTCGCCACAATCGCTAAAGACGCAGCTCTTTTCGCAATCACACTCTCATCTACTTTTCCAACTGTCTATAAATTCCTTTATGTCTCTACCCGTTCGGTAGCCCTTCTGGGGTTCGAATCTCCCTATGTTACTTTTGTGCCACCCACCAATCAGGTAAAGGCTTGTTTACTAAAGGGAGTGGATGCCTCCTACAATAAAAATGACCTGCCATAAACACCATATGCGGCCCGTTTCATGATTTTTTCATTCAAATATATGAAAGTGATAACTGCCAAAAACTGACCACGTCGATGATCTGACTGAGTCTCAACTTGAGCTTTATTGTGAGCGGTTCGTGTGGTCCACTGGCTGGCCTAAATAATGGCTGGTAAAGATGTAGCGTGAGGGTTTTCCATATGAAACAATGAAGAGTGCAGGGCAAATACGGTCGGTTGCACCGATACTAGAAAGATTACGGAGTCTGTTCACAGGGTGATGAAATCGTGCATGGAAAATTGCGCTCTTCCTTCCCCCACATGAAAAAGTCATTTGCGATCACTAGGGACAATTTTCAAGCATGAAAATTAGGTTTCCTACAGAAAGCGAGCTTTGAAAACCACGCTTCATGGCCCAGATCACCAATGGGCGAAGACAAGGGAGTACGTGGAACAATCTCATGTGGTGGCGCGGCACACCACGAAATTGACGTACCCTCCTCCTTCCCCTTCCCTCATTAGGCACACATTGACACTTACTTGAAGCATTCGAATCTGGGGAGTACAGAGAAAACGACCGATGGATTAGGATGCCAACATTTGTGACAGATGTACGGAGGGAATTTGAACGGTAATACTTTTCTTAGTATTTAATATACAAATACGGTAACCCTCAACAACTCAAAATCTACTTGCCAAAGCTTTCAGCCTCGCAGGTCATTGCCGATATCGGCTAACAGGCTCAACACGTTATACGTGTGAGTGTTGAAAGCGATGGTAAGTATGCGATGGAAAGCTGAGTTGGAATGAAATGGTATAGGGGTAGCGCACTTGCCCGGAAAGCGAGAGGTGCGGGTTCGAGTCCCGTCCTGGGGCGAAAGTTTTGTTCACAACCCAGCATTCTTGTGAAACATTCGCAAGGCGAACTGCGGCCAAAAACAGCAGTTAACAAACAAAAATTTTCTCAATTTTTCTGATCGTTTACCAAAGAAGCAACCTGCCTTTAATGTAGAGGATGACTCTTGAACTTACAATTGAATAAGGGAATATAGAAGCTTAATGTTCTCCTGGACGATTCCTTCAAGTAACTTTTCTCATGAACAGGAATGCACTTCATTTTTACTCATTTCATTTACTCTATTTAGACCTAATTTATCGTCTTGATAGCTCTATCCTCAATCGCTTACAAGATATATCTACAACGAAATACGGGATCAGTACACCCCGCCCCCTCACCTCCACTGAAGACAGCCTGAATCGAACCCCCTTCAACACTTTCTATGGTACTCCTGGTGGCAATTTGCTTCACCCATTACCACCAATTTTCGTTCCATTTCCAGAAAAAGGCGGCCTGTTCTGATGGGGTGGAGGGTGCAGGGCTCAGGGAGTAATATATCTGGAACGACTGAAACTGCAAAAGCAGCGGAATCGTGGAAGTGTTACAAAAATTCTCGTCAAGTAAAACATTTCAACATCTCCCAAATCCCAGCTTCAGCTTTCTTAAAGGAATCTTCCACGGAAAGACTGCTTATCCTTTCCTTGTGTACAGGTGTTGGGCATGGTCATTGAAGACCATATGCAAAGTTCAGAGCGAAAATGATGAAACCCCCAAGAGAAACAGCCCTTGGAAAGACCCATCTGTGGGACCGGATTGGACCAGTAGGCGGGACCGGAAGTGCTTCTGTGACGAAGTGCGTGGCAGGTGCGGATCCACGTGTCAGTTTATGGGAAGGGCCCAACATGAATCCAGTTCACGTTCACGCTTTTGACACGTTTGCACGTGTTGACTCCACGCCGCTAACAGTTGTGGAAGTTTTACAGCGGGAATTCAAAATTTTCATAGTCGAACTGGTTATCATAATTATTATCAAAACCATCGCCTATGTTCCGTTCTTTTTGCTATCTTCATGAAGCAAGGTACCTAAGCCTAGTTACGTTTTTTGAAGTTATCGGATCCGA